TCAATATCGACATACGAAGCAGACAATTATTGGGTTGCAAGGATAAGGAAGCGTGCGAACCGCAAAATATATTGAAATACAATTTCGAATTGCCGTCCCTAAGATGCTATACATCTATGTCCAGAGGAGCTAATTTAGTCGTTTTAAAATTAATGTAAACCCAATAATTTGTTGAAGTTCTCGTTACATCTCTGTGGAGGGGAAGACCGGAGGAAGAAAAATTTCGCAGCTATTGGTCTTATTAATGGGCATAATAAGTGTATCCGATTTTGCGGACAAACTTGGCCTAGATTGGTACAGATACAATAGGTCTCATAGGAATCGAATTATGCGTACCTCAAAAAGTCCCAATTAAGTTGAACAACCTTCACATCTTCGAGCCGATAAAAAATTGTGAGGAATAGAAGGTATTATTTTTACCTCCTTTTCCCGTCTCTCTTTAGTGCATAGATCTGATTACATTTTCACTACTTGGTCGGGGTGTCAAGACGACTCCGCAGAGTATACCATTGCCGGTATTCCCGGTCATAGAAGTCACGATAATTTCCATCACTATACTGTGCCACCAATACATTCACAGGTCTTTCACCTACACCATAGCCGGAATCTTCACTGAGTCTGGGTAGTCATAGTACCAAGCTACAATTCGTCAAAGAGGAAAGTTGTCACTTGAACCATTGAGGATGCCGACTAGATTGCCAGCGAAATATCTGGCAATCTGATGAAGCATATTCTAACAAATACAGCTGTTAAACACCCCTGATGATGTATACCCTTCGAAGTCGTCTTGACAACTAGGCCAAGTTGCGAAGACCAGACCCGGCTAATACGACGCTAACAAAATAGAGGTTATACCTCTGCTCCTTTTGCTTCACAATCGGTGAATTCCTATTTGGCTTTCTTGCTTTGGCAACTCCCGTTGAGTCTTCCAAATGCAGCCACAATATCTGCCGCGAAGTCGTCTTATTTCAGGTATCATCTTGATGCCTTCAGTTGGAGATTCGTGGCATAAGGTCAAAAAATGTGCATCCCATGCTGTGATGAAAAAAGACAACAGTAAGCTTCACAGTGTACACGTCAAATACTTACTGCAGCCATTTTTTCCAGAACCTACACATTATAGTAGTCATCTGTCATTGTCCGTGTCATGGCGTCAGCTTAAATCCGCAGCAGATCCACCCGCATTTAAGTCAGAATTAAATCGATCTTGCGTAAGCCTCGTCAGCACCTTTAACTCTCGAGCTTTCCTTTCGTGCAGCCCGATTTGCTCTGCAACTGGCGAGTTCTGTCAGTCGAGCTGCGCCTCCCACAGTCTTGCCCATCAGGCTCAGCTTAACTCAGGTCAGCGTATCGATCGGAGATCCTGCAGCATGTTAGGTCCGACGCCTGCCCTTCAAGCCCTACTTATGCGTATAGTTCAGGCAGGCAGGTAGGCACGCACGCACGCACGCACGCGAGCAGGCAGGAGGGCATGCATGCAACACACTACGCTGAACCCATAAGTTAGCCGTCGTAGCGAGTTCGAATCACCAATTCAACATGCCTTCTCAGTATTCCTCTGCGTATGTCTGCCTTTTATCCTATGAAAAGGAGTGCCTTCGAGCCCAAGCATTCCCGATCGATTCGAGCATGCGCCAGTTTTCAAATTTGGTTGGAAGGCCCTATTGCTGCAACGGAGCCGAGTCTTACGTGCAATTTTGCATGCATTTGCATGGTTCCGTCGCTTCGGCATCCTCAGGCACCCTCAATAAGAGCGGGAACGAAGCCTCTCGTACAAGAGCTGAATTTAACCTGTTTCCTTTTAGCTGATGAAGGACTGTTAATTGTGTGAATAAATAAGGAAAAAGTTTTTTTCAAAGAATGCTTTAGTGATACATTGTGTCATGACTTCTATTTCGAAGGGAAATTGAGTTATTGTATTTTGGCTCTATTTGGTAAAATGTGGACTATTGCTTTGTCTTTTAGACAAAGTTTAGCACAGGTTCGTCGGGGTCGCCGGACGATGCGCCGAGAAGATATTCACATAATACGATAGTCTTCTCTACGCGGCAATCCCTCGGTTTCCGGTGAGACCACATCACGAATTCCTTCCAACCAACATCATGTTACACTTATATGAGTAAACCTCCTGTTTTCACTCAATTTCACAATTTTCCTTTTTAATAGAAAATTTTCATCCAGTTTTGACCTCGCCTTGGTTTCATCAGCACCCCCATTGGAAATTGAACCCAGGTTGTGATAGTGCAGCGTATACCCTTGACCCGTTAACCACTGCAAGGTACGGCCGCGAAGGCCCTTGGGTCGCAGAGCAGAAGTGAATTTTAAGGAAGGCATATTCACATGATTGTGGGAAAATTCGATTACCTGTCTTTTATAAGCTTA